GGCTGAGAGACCCATAAACGATTCACATCACAGGACTCTGTGCAGATGACCCCCAGTACTAGCCTGGAGCCAGTTAGGCTTGCTGGGTGGCTAGACCCAGAAGAGAGATAACCATCACTGCAGCTGAGTTCACAGGAAACCATATCCATAGGAAAAAGGGGAGAGTATTATATCAAGGGAACACCCTATGGGAAAAAAGAATCTGAACAACAGCCTTCAGGCCTAGAACTGCCCTCTGACAGAGCGTACACAAATGAGAAGGAGCCAGAAAACTAACTTTCATAATATGACAAAACAAGGCTCTTTAACACACCCCAAAAATCTCACTAGCTCACCAGTGCTGGAACCAAACCAAGAAGAAATCCCTGACTTACCTGAAAGAAAGAATTCAGGAAGTTAGTTATTAAGCTAATTAGGGAGGCACCAGAGGAAGGTAAAGTCCAATGCAAGGAAATCCAAAAAAAAAATGATACAAGAAATGAAGGGAAAAATATTCAAGGAAATAGATAGCATAAAGAAAAAAACAATCAAAACTTCAGGAAATACTGGACACACTTATAGAAACGCAAAATGCTCTGGAAAGCCTTGGCAATAGAATTGAACAAGTAGACAAAAGAAATTCAGAGCTCAAAGACATGGTCTCTGAATTAACCCAACCCAATGAAGACAAAAAAAATAAATAAATAAGAATAAGAAAATATGAAAAAAGCCTCCAAGAAGTCTGGGATTATGTTAAATGAACAAACCTAAGAATAATTGGTGTTCTTGAGGAAACAGAGAGATCTAAAAGTTTGGAAAACATATTTGGGGGAACAATTGAGGAAAATTTCCCAGGCTTGCTAGAGACCTAGCCATCCAAATACAAAAGCACAAAGGACACCTGGGAAATTCATTGCAAAAAGATCATTGCCTAGGCACATCGTCATCAGGTTACTTAAGATAAAGGAAAGAGTCTTAAGAGCTGTGAGACAAAAGCACCAGGTAACCTGTAAAGAAAAACTTATCAGATTAACAGCAGATTTCTCAGCAGAAATCCTACAAGCTAGAAAGGATTGGGACCTCATCTTCAGCCTCCTTAAATAAAACAATTATCAGCCAAGAATTTTGTATCCAGCAAAACTAAGCATTATGTATGAAGAAAACATACAGTCTTTTTCAGACAAACAAATGCTGAGAGAATTTCCCACTACCAAGCCACTACTACAAGAACTGCTAAAAAGAGCACTAAATCTTGAAACAAATTCTGGAAACACATCAAAACAGAACATCTTTAAAGCATAAATCTCACAGGACCTATAAAACAAAAATACAATTTAAAAAGCAAGAACCAAAGAACCAAGGTACACAGGCAACAAATAGCATGATGAATGCAGTAGTACCTCACATCTCAATACTAACATTGAATGTAAATGGTCTAAATGCCCCACTTAAAAGATATAGAACTGCAGAATAGATAAGAACTCACCAATCAACTATCTGCTGCCTTCAGGAAACTCACCTAACACATAAGGGCTCACATAAACTTAAAGCAAAAAGCTGGAAAAAAGCATTTCATGGAAATGAACACCAAAAGCAAGAAGAGGTCACTATTCTTATATCAGACAAAACAACCTTTAAAGCAACAGCAGTTAAAAGAGACGGGGAAAAAAAAAACAAAAAAAAAACATTATTTAATGGTAAAAGGCTTGTTTGGACAAGAAAATATCACAATCCTAAACACATATGCACCTAACACTGAAACTCCCAAATTTATAAAAGAAATACTAATAGCCCTAAGAAGTTAAATAGACAGCAACACAATAATAGTGGGGGATTTCAGTACTCCACTGACAGCACTAGACAGGTCATCAAGACAGAAAGTCAACAAAGAAACAATGGATTTAAACTATACCTCAGAACAAATGGACTCAACAGATATACACAGAACATTTCATCCAACAACTGCAGAATGCACATTCTATTCAACAGCACATAGAATGTTCTCCAAGATAGACCATATGATAGGCCACAAAACAAGCCTCAATAGATTTAAGAACATTGAAATTATATCAAGCACTCTCTCAAACCACAGTGGAATAAAGCTGGAAAACAACTCCAAAAGGAACCTTCAAAACCATGCAAATACATGGGAATTAAATAACCTGCTCCTGAATGAGCATTGGGTCAAAAACAATATCAAGATGGTAATTAAAAAATTCTTCAAACTGAACAACAATAATGACACAATCAATCAAAACCTCTGCAAAGGCAGTGCTAAGAGGAAAGTTCATAGTCCTAAATGCCAAGAGCAAAAAGGCTAAAAGAGCATAAACTGACATTCTAAGGTCACAATGAAGGACTGTGTTAAGGAAAAAAAATTCTCTTCCAGGGTCCAGGAGGGGTGTGGTTTCAAAGGTAGGAGTCTCCCAGCAACACACCTCCATCCATGCCCCGAGCCAGGAATGTAAAGTTCTTTGTCTGGGTTTTCTGCACGGGCTAGATAGAGAAATTCAGGTGGGTTCCTTTGTTCAAAAACCCCACCAAAAGCTCTAGGAGGAGGCGGCTGTTGTGGACCAAGTAACCAATCCAGTATCAGAGTCAAAGATCAATCACTCCAGAGGAGGTTTGAAAGAACTCCTCTCATTGAACAAGAACATAAACGAGGAGGAAATAACTCCAAGGTTAAACACTGCACTGCTCCTTACCTATACAGATACCCTTCTCTGGATTCCCCTCCCACAACAGCATGGGAGCTGGCTCACATGCTCTCTCTCTCCCTGCCTAATAAATTGCTTTTCTGCAAGACTCTTTGGGTCTACGATATTTATTCAAACAGTAAGCTCACCGTGCCTCTGGGGCCTCTTTCCCCATTCTTCAGGGTAAGAGAGGCCAAGGACCTCATCAGAACAGGGAGGGAGCTGAGTACACAGCCCTGTCCCGGTTACAACACCTCAAGGAACTAGAGAAGCAAGAACAAATAAAACCCAAACCCAGCAGGAGAATAGAAGTAACCAAGATCAGAGCAAAACTAAATGAAATTGAAACAAACAAATAAAATACAAAAGATAAATGAAACAAAAAGCTGATTCTTCAAAAAGATAAATAAAATTGATAGGCCATTAGCAAGATTAACCAAGTAAAGAAGAGGGATAATCCAAGTAACCTCATTAAGAAATAAAATGGGAGATATTACAACTGACAACACAGAAATACAAAAGATCATTCAAGGCTACTATGAACACCTTTATGCACATAAACTAGAAAATCTAGAACAGATGGATACATTCCTGGAAAAATACAACCCTCCTAGATAAATCAAGAAGAATTAGGTACCTTGAACAGACTGATAACAAGCAGTGAGATTGAAATGGTAAGTTTTAAATTACCAACAAAAAAAGTCCAGGACTAGATGGATTCACCGCAGAATTCTATGAGGCATTCAAAGAAAAACCTGGTACCCATCCTTTTGACACTATTCCACAAGACAAAGAGGGAACCCTCCTTAATTCATTCTATAAAGTCAGCTATCTCAGGAGTTAAATAATAACATGGAAAATGTTGCTAATTCTCTCTGCAGAAGCAGCTTAACTCTTTAGCTGCCATGCCTCTTCAAAATAGAAGGGCTCTGGATCTGCTAACAGCAGAGAAAGGAGGATCCTGTCTCTTTTTAAGAAAAGAATGCTGCTACTTTGTAAACCAATTGGGTATTGTCTTAAAGTTTAAAAAAACTCAGGGATCAATCAAACAAAGGGCTAAAGACCTTCAAAAAAAAAAAAAAAACACAGGATGGCAAAGCTTGTTTAACAACTGGCTCAACAATTTTAAATAAAATGGATAGACCATACCAAAACCAAGAAAGTGCATATCCAAAAAAGGAAACTACAGACCGATATCCCTGATGAACATTGATGCTAAAATCCTTAACAAAATAACTGCTAATCAAATCCAACAGCATATCAAAAAAATAATCCAACATGATCAAGTGGGTTTCATATCAGGGATGCAGGGATGGTTTAACATACGCAAGTCAGTAAATGTGATACACCACATAAACAGAATTAAAAACAAAAATCACATGATCATCTCAATAGACGGGGAAAAAGCATTCAACAAAATCCAGCATCCCTTTATGATTAAAACTCAGCAATATCAGCATACAAGGGACATACCTCAATGTAATAAAAGCCATCTATGACAAACCCACAGCCAACATAATACTGAAGGGGGAAAAGTTGAAAGCATTCCCTCTGAAAACTGGAACAGGCAAGGATGCCTACTCTCACCACTCCTCTTCAGCATAGTACTGGAAGTCTTAGCCAGAGATATCAGACAAGAGAAAGAAACAAAGGGCATCCAAATTGGTAGAGAGAAAGTGAAACTGTCACTGTTTGATAATGATATGATTGTTTACCTAGAAAACTCTAAGGACTCCTCCACAAAGCTCCTATAACTGATAATAAAAAAAAATTCAGCAAAGTTTCACGATACAAGATTAATGTACACAAATCAACAGCTCTTCTATACACCAACAGCGATCAAGCTGAGAATCAAATCAATAACTCGACTTTTACAATAGCTGGAAAAAAAAAAAAACTTAGGAATATACCTAACCAAGGAGGTGACAAACCCCTACCAGGAAAACTACAGAACACTACTGAAAGAAATCATAGATGACACAAACAAATGGAAACACATCCCATGCTCATGGATGGGTAGAATCAATATTGTGAAAATGACCATACTGCCAAAAACAATCTACGAATTCAATGCAATCCCCATCAAAATACCACCACCATTCTTCACAGAATTAGAAAAGGCAATCCTAAAATTCATATGGAAACCAAAATGAGCCCACATAGCCAAAACAGGACTAAGCAAAAGAACAAATCTGGAAGCATTACATTATCCAACTTCAAACTATACTACGAGACCATAGTCACCAAAATAGCATGGTACTGGTATTAAAACAGGCATATAGAGCAACGGAACTGAATAGAGAATCCAGAAATAAAGCCAAATACTTACAGTCAACTGATCTTCAACAAAGGAAGCAAAAATTAGAGTGGAGGAAGGACACACTATTCAAATGGTGCTGGGATAGTTGACTAGCCACACATAGAAGAATGAAACCAGATCCTCATCTCTCACCCTATACAAAAATCAAATCAAGATGGATCAAAAACTTAAATCTAAGACCTGAAACTATAAAAATTCTAGCAGATAACATTGGAAAACACTTCTAGACATTGGCTTAGGCAAAGATTTCATGAATAAGAACCCAAAAGCAAATGCAACAGAAACAAAGATAAATAGACACAACCATTAAACTAAAAAGCTTCTGCAAAACAAAATAAATAATCATCAGTAAACAGACAACCCACAGAGTGGAGAAAATCTTCACAATCTATACATCTAACCAAAGGACTAATATCCAAAATCTACAATGAATTCAAACAAATCAGTAAGAAAAAAACAATCCAATCAAAAATAAGAACATGGACAACTCTCAAAAGAAGATACACAAATGTTCAACGAACATATGAAACAATGCTCAACATTGCTAACGATCAAGGAAATGCAAATGAAAACCACAATGCAATACTACCTTACTCCTGCAAGGATGGCCATAATCAAAAAATCAAAAAGCAGTAGACAATGGCATTGATGCAGTAATCAGGGAATACTTCTACACTGATGGTGGAAATGGAAACTAGTACAGCCACTATGGAAACCAGTGTGGAGATTCCTTAAAAAGCTAAAAGTAGAACTACCATTTGATCCAGCAATCCCACTACTGAGAATCTACCCAAAGGAAAAGAAGTCATTATACAAAAAAGATACCTGCACATGCATGTTTATAGCAGCACCATTGGCAATTGCAAAATTGTGAAACCAACCCATATGTTCATCAATCAACAAGTGGATAAAGAAACTGTGGCATATATATACACAGTGGAATACTACTCAGCCATAAAAAGGAATGAATTAAACAGCATTTGCAGCCACCTGGATGAGATTGGAGACTATTATTCTAAGTGAAGTAACAGAGAAATGGAAAACCAAACGTTGTATGTTCTTACAAATATATGGGAACTAAGCTATGAGGATGCAAAGGCATAAAAATAATACAATGAACTTTGGGGACTTGGGGGGAAAGGTGGGGGGATGAGCAAGTGATAAAAGACTACCAACAGGGTACAGTGTATACTGCTTGGGTGATAGGTGCACTGAACTCTCACAAATCCCACTAAATAACTTACTCATGTAACCAAATATCACCTGTACCTCAATAACCTGTGGGTAAAAAAACTCTGAAAGCAAATTAAAAATAAATAAATAAGTAAAAATAAAGCTATATGTATTCTGAAAAAAAAAGAACTGAATGCCATCTTATTTCTTAAGTAAAAAGACAAATATAGAAAAATTATTCCTATGAATATGTGAGTAAAATTCACCTTTACTTAATAAAATTACAGAAGAGACCCCTCTCCCATCAGATTGACAAAGAATGAAAATAATTGCTAATAACCAGTGCTGCTAAGACTGCAATAAAACTTTCAGTCTTTAAAAAAAAAAAAAGGAGGAGAGGGGAGGGGACCTGGCATGGTGGCTCATGCCTGTAATCCCAGCATTCAGGAGGTCAAGGAAGGTGGCTCAGTAGTTTGAGAACAGCCTCGCCAACATTGCAAAACTCCGTCTTTACTAAAAAAAAAAAAAAAAAAAGTACAAAATTAGCCAGGCGTGGTGGTGCATGCCTGTTATCCCAGCTGCTTGGGAAACCGAGACAGGAGAGTCACTTAAACCTGGGAGCCGAAGTTTGCAGTGAGCCAAGAACATGCCATTGCACTTCAGCCTGGGCAACAGAGCAAGAATCTATCTCAAAAGAAAAAAAGGTTTTTCACTATGATCGAGTAATATTAACAGGGATGAGAGGATGGTTCACATACACAGATCAATAAATGTGATGCATCACATTAACAAAATAATGAACAAAACCTGGGGCCGGGCGCAGTGGCTCACTCCTGTAATCCCAGCACTTTGGGAGGCCAAGGCGGGCAGATCACAAGGTCAAGAGATCAAGACCATCCTGGCCAACATGGTGAAACCCCATCTCTACTAAAAATACAAAAATTAGCTGGGTGTGGTGGTGTGCACCTGTAGTCCCAGCTACATGGGAGGCTGAGGCAGGAGAATTGCTTGAACCCAGGGGGCGGAGGTTGCAGTGAGCCAAGATCGCACCACTGCACTCCAGCCTGGCATCTGGTGACAGAGCGAGACTCTGTCTCAAAAAAAAAAAGAACAAAACCCATGTCATCATTTCTGTAGATACAGAAAAAACATGACAAAATTCAATAGCCTTTTGTAATAAAAACTCTCAACAAATTAGGTATAGAAGAAATGTACTTCAATACAATAAAGGCTATGTATGACAAACCCATAGCTAACATCATAATGAATGGGAAAAAGTTGAAAACTTTTCCCTTAAGAACCAGAACAAAGACAAGGATGCCCACTCTTACCACTTGTACTTAACGTAATACTAGAAGTACTAGCTGGAGGAATCAGACAAGAGAAAGAAACAAAATATATTCAAATTAGAAAGGAAAAAGCTGCATTGTCTCTCTTTGTGGATAACATGATGTTATATGTAGAAAACTCTAAAGACTCCACCAAAAAACTGATAGATCTAATAAATAAATTTAGCAAACTAGTAATATACAAAATCAACGTACAAAAATCAATAGCATTTCTATACACAAATGGCACATTTTCTGGAAAAAAGAAAAAATAAGTCAAGGAAACACTCCCATTTGTGGCAGCTACAAAAAATAAAGTACCTTGTAATAAATTTAACTAAGGAGATGAGAGATTATGACACTGAAAACTGTAAAACATTTATTGAATACATTTAAAAAAACACAAATAAATGGAAAGATAGCCCATGTTAATGGATGGAAGAATAAATATTGTTAAAATGGCCATATTACCCCAAAGCAATCTTTAGCTTCAGTGCCATCCCTATCAAAATACCAATGACATTTTTCACAGAAATAGAAAAAAAATCACAAAGTTTGCATGTAACCAAAAAAGACTCCAAATAGCCATAGCAATCCTGAATTAAAAGAACAATGCTCAAGACATCACACCATCTGACTTCGAATTATACTAAAAGGTATAATAACCAAAATAACATGGTACTGGTATAAAAACAGACACATAGACCAATGGAACAGAAAAGAGACCTCAGAAATAAAGCCATGCATGTACAGCCAGTTGATTTTCAACAGAGGTGCCAAGAGCACACAATAAGGAAATAACAGTCTCTTTAATAAATGGGCTTGGGAAAACTGGATATCCACATGCAGAAGAATAAAATTAGACTCTTATCTCTTACCGTATACATAAAGACACTCAAAATGGATTAAAGAGTTAAATGTAAGGCCGAAAACTAAGAAACTAATAGAAGAAAAAATAAGGAAAAATCTCCATGGCATTCGTTTAGGCGATGATTTTTTTAATAAGACCTCAAAAGCACAGCCAGCAAAAGCAATAACAGACAAATGGAATTACATGAAACTAAAAAGCTTCTGCACAGCAGGAGAAACAATCAACAGAGTGAAAAGACACCGTACAAAATGCAAAAACATATTTGCAAACTGTTAAGTCCAATAAGGGACCAATATCTAAAATATATGAGGCTCAAACAACGCAATAACAGAATAATAAATAACTCAATTAAAAATGAGCAAAAGACCTAAATAAATACTTCTCAAAAAAAAAGACATAAAATGATCAAGCATATGAAAAATGCTCAACATCACTGAATCATTAGGGACATGCAAATCAAAACCATGAGAAAACACCTCACTCTAGTTTGAATGGCTATTATCAAAAGTCAAAAAATAACAAGTGTTGCCAAGATGTGGAGAAAAGGAACAGTTGTTGGGAATGTAAATTAGTACAGACATTATGGAAAATAGTAGGAGGTTCCCCCCAAAATTAAAACTAGAACTACTACATGATTCAGCAATCTCACTACTGGATATATACCCAAAGGTAATGAAATCAGTATATTGAAGAGATAGATGCACTCCTATATTTATTGCAACACTATTCACAACAATCAAGATGCGGAATCAACCTAAGTGTCCATCAATAGATGAATGAATAAAGAAAATGTGGTGTACACCAGGCTCAGTGGTTCATACCTGTAATTCCAGCACTTTGGGAGGCCGAGGCAAATGGACAGATTGAGCCCAGGAGTTTGAGACAAGCCTGGGCAACATGATGAAACCCCATCTCTACTAAAAGTACAAAAAATTAGCTGACTATGGTGACCTACGTCTGTAGTCCAAGCTATCTGGAAAGCTAAGGTGGGAAAATCATCTGAGCCTAGGAAGTTGAAGCTGCAGCGAGCCATGATGGTGCCACTGCACTCCAGCCTGGGCAACAGTGAGACCCTGTCTAAAAAAGAAAGAAGGAAAGAAAATGTGGTGTGTGTGTTGAAGTGGTGGTGGTGTGTGTGTGTGTGTCTGAGTGTGTGTGTGTGTGTGTGTGTAATGGAATACTATTCAGTCATAAAAAGGAATGAAATCCTCCCATGTACAACAGATGGTTTCTCCTATCATTCATGCAACAACATGAATAATAGGAGAAATAAGTTCTGGTATTTTAATGCACAGTATGGTGACTATAGTTAATAATAATGTATTGTATATTTCAAAATAGTGAGAAGACAGGAATTTGAATATTCCTCACAAAAAGAAGTGATAAATGTTTGAGGTGATAGAAATGGTAATTTCTCTGATTTAATCATTACATAATATATCCATGTATTGAAGTGTCACATTGTACCTCATAAATATGTAAAATTATTGTGTGTCAAATAAAAGTAAAAATTTTAAAATATTTTTAAGTGTCAAGAAAATAAAATGGCATAGCCATGAGGGTCTTTTCTTCTATGTACCAGAAAGACCATGCCATTTATACAATGGTGAGGGATTTTTTATTGTTGTTGCTTAGTGTCCTTGGTTACCATAACTAAAGAATATGGGAGAAGCCATCCTTATTCAATGATGACCTCTCTCTAAAAAGGCAAGTAAAATGAAGTGTCAATATTATGCCCATTAGATTTCCCCTTTAGAAATTTAGATGACAACATATTTCTCTTATGTGGACAAACTACATTTCAAAGACCCACATTTCTATAAACAAGGCTACAGATCAGTACCGTCCAATAGAACTTTCTGTTACAATGGAAATGTTCTATATCTGTAAGTTTCAATAAAGTAGCCACTCCACATGCAGCTACTGAGCACTTGAAAGATGACTAGTATGACTAAGAAACTAAGTTTTAATTTTATTTAAATGTATAAATTTAAATTTAAATAACCATGCATAGCTGGTGACTATCTAAATAGCCAGTGCAGCTAAAAGGTGCTAATTTGACTTCTCAAAAACTCTTAGGAACCAAAGTCCTCACTAAAAAAATGGAAAGACCTAGAAACAAGTTGTAAGGCTAGAGATGTAAGGTTTCCTGGACAGCCTGTGGGTGGAATTTCCATCAAATTGCAGACTAATGGGTTCTCAATGCTTCTTTGGTATTATTACCATCACACTGACGAAAGAACGAAGTTGTCAGTGGATGGTAACATTATACTTTTTATTTGGAACTGATGTTCTTACAGTGCTCTGTATTCTTAAATATATACTCTCACAGGAGGCATCGAATTGAATATTCAACATCGCTTCTCTGAGATTTGATTCCTACACACGGAATGAATATTTTGCCTCTTGGGGGATGGTAGCATAAATATCTGAGCTTTATATCACCAAAAGAGGATTCAGAAAGAAATCAAACTTCATTTTTGTGTCTTGCTTCTTTTAATTTTATTTTATTTTCTCCCTTCTCTCTTTCTTTCTTAATAGCTGAGATGGACAGGGTGAACAATTAAAAGTAAATGGCATGCTTCAGAGAAGCATTGAGACTGACTCAGTTTTTATGCATTTCTTTCAAAGGACCTTTTATGTTACATTGCTTACTTGCTATCAGAGATACACACGGTGAACACAACTTAGAGATTCATCAAAATGACAAAACTGAGAATCTCCAGGGCAGGAAAAGGTCATCAGACTCTGTGCAGTGCGTGGTCTGTATGAGTCCTTCACAAATGCTCCCAGGATGGTGATGCCTTTGTTCTCCTCTGTTCTGGTGGAAATGATTTAGTGAATGCTCTGCACCTTTCTCTCCCTTCAATGCCACCCTTGACCCCTCGCCCCCACCCTTTCACATTAGATCTTTTTGCTTCACTGGCCTTTCCGGGTGAGGAAGAGTCTCACCAAATCAAGAATGTACCTTTTCAGAAGAGGTCAATTAGTCCTGGGGAGTAATGAGGACAAAACTGCCCTCTTCACTTTGACCATTGATTTAAACACTATTCACAGGCTCCAGGGTGCTAGTGAGGCAACTCTCTGGGAACCAACTAGGGACATCATCCTCCATTCCCATAACCCATGCCCAGTCACCCCAGAGAATCAGCCACCAGCCACAGCTCCCTCCCACCCTGCTACATGGTAACCAAAACAAACCCCTTCTGTGTACATTTTCTGTAGCGTGTAATTGCGAACTAGTGACAAAGAAGAATGGAAAGGAAATGTATTGAGACAGCACCGAGAGAGTTATGGTAAGAAGGATTCTAAGTTCCCAACCCTGCATGCCAAGAGCAAATTTCATGGCATGGCTCATGCCTGAAGACTGGACCATGCCCAGAGCTGCGTCTTAAGAACTTAGCACCTTTGCCATGCTACATACGCCACGTGGGCCAACAGTGCTCCTAAAACCATAGACTTTCAAGTCAAGAGATCTTGGAGTGTTGGAGTCTCCCTCTTTCTCACGTGAGAAATCTCTCTTCAAAATCGGCCGCCCAGGGGTACAGATATCACTATTTCTCCAGAATAGATCCAAGTCGAACCAAATACGTTATGGCAACTATCATACATTCCTTGATTTTATTACTTCTGTTCCAAATGAAATTTCCTTGTTTTTTTCCACTGCGAATTCAATCCTCATATGATATGATTTTGAGATTCTTCCCTATTCTGGTCACTCTTACAGTCAAGGTCAGTAAAAAATTTCAAGCTTGGCCACATCTGTACAGATGCCATCATCTGTCTCTAAATGTTTTATTTGAGTTTAGCAGAGAAAAGTCAGAAGCGTGTGGAGGGAAGGTGGTAGTAGCTTTATCCTTTCTCTGAAGCAGCACTGAGAGCACATTAGGCTACAGTAGAAGCACATGGAAACAGGAACGAAGTTTCCTTTTGTGAAAAAGCTACAATCTTAGAAATAATTATATAATTTGTGAGCATCTATCAATCAAGATCTATTTCAGACATTTTGCATATGTTAATCCTCACAAGAAGATAAGCCTTACTATTCCCACTTTACAATGAAAGGAAGGGGCTCATAGAAATTAAATGATTTGTCCAAGGTCAGATAGTTAATAAGTGGTAAATAATGCATTTCTCTAAAATTGCTAATTTAGAATCATTTCTCCTGGCCAATGCCACATCCTGGAATTATACAACCTCTTGAAGCCCAGATGTGTTCTGTTCCAACTTTTGAGAGTCTTCCAGTCACTCCAGTTTGATCTGATTTTTCTGAACTCAGATCATTATCTGCTGTGACCTTTAGCTCCTTCCTGATTTTTCCAGACTTGCCTGCTCCGAGCTTGGATGTCTTCCTGATCCCAAAAGTCTGTCTGGGTCCCTAGTTTTCCCCTCATTTTTATGTATGGACATAACCCTTAACTCTCTCAAAAGAAAGAGAAATTCCAGGCCCCTGAATCACTGAGTCTGTGTGTTCTCTTCCTTGCAAATTCTTTGAAATGATCAGAGTGATCGAAGATGAAAGGAAACTTTTACATTGGTCTAGGCTTCTAATTGTCATTAGATGACTTTCATTTTTTTTTTTTTTATGATCTTTCCCAAAGAATCCAGTGTCCTGTGGATGTCTCCTGAATTGTTAGAAGGAGAGAAAAATGGAATAACTATCCAATTGGTTAAAGGCTGATTAACTGATTTTCAATGTAGCTCATTCTCAAACAATACAGCTTGAGTCAAATCTCCCGAGACCATTTTTAAGTTGTCCTGCTTGTGATACAATTCAGGTGTTTGAGAGCAATTAGAAAATTCACATCAGAAATCCATTGAGGCTGAAGATGTGTTCTCACTTACTGAAGAGTACTTTGTACTTTTAACAACTGTTTATAAACTAGAGCTCCATGTGGTCCAGTCTCAGCAAGTTATAGCATTCAAGTAAATACAGTCCTGGAACTATAAGTAATTAAAAGCAATTCCAATCTTTTCTTGAATTTATTAAAAGATGTCATTTATAACCCACAATAATATTTCTTAAAGCCCTCTTTCTCCATTATTTTCCCTCTCAACCTCAGTCTTATTCTCAACTTCCCCAAAGCTCTATATATTTCATTCTCAACCTCAATCCCAAACTCTTTCTTTAAAAACAAATTGGTAT